TTACAAGTACCATATGAGAAGTTTGGATGCACGGGCGACTCCTCAAACCGAACAACCCTTGGATTTGTAAGCGGCTAGTTGGAGACCAACTAGTTGACATGAAGACCGCTTGGTGTCTAGCTAGTTGACGTGAAGACTTTCCCGACTCATCCTAAAACAATTATTTTATTATTTAAAATGTTAGACTATAAAAAGAATTTTTATTAATCAAGTTTTATTTTATAAAATATATTATCTTCCTATAACTTTTTTCTAAAACTTCTCTCTATCATCTCTCTTTATCTTTAAAGACGAGAAACAATAGAAAGATGCTTGTCGAGAGCTCTATACATCAAAGCGATAAGAGTTTAAAATAAAGTAAATTCACTTTTTCTTCTTTTTTAGTTAGTTTAGTGTTTTAAGTGTATGTGATTCTTAGTACATGCATGTGACACAAAATAAATTAATGTAAATCTCTATTTATTTGTGATCATGAAGATGAGGTCATATCTCTAAGTAGTTTTTTTTATGTGTAGTTATAACATCTTTTGAGAACCAAAGCTAATAGGAGTGACTTTTTGAGTTAGGAGTTGTGCTCTCTAGGTAATGAAAGTTAGTAATAAATTTTATAAATATTTATGCTAGTTTGGGATGGTTTGTTATGTTTAGTATTAATGAATTAATATGGTTAATTGGTCTATGACTTTGGTTGATCGAGATTTAAATCTATGAGGGATAGGAAATTTATGATCTTAGTTGAAGTTGTTATTAATTTGTAATATGCATGTGATTTATGATTGTTGATTTACCTATGCCATATCATTTTGGTCAAGTTGGTCTATCTAAGGCACTTTATATTAATATATATTATTATTGAATCGAGGAACATGTAAAAGTGATTAAAGGGACCAAATGTCTATTAGATATACTTATTGGGTTTTTGGTTTTATACAAATTCGATGGAAAAGTAAGTCAATTGTTGGGCGAGCAAGTCACTTGCTGGGCGAGCAAGTCACTCATTGGATAAAAATAAAAATTTCCAAATCTAGTGAGTTTAGATAGCTTCACTCACTAGGAAAGGCAAGACTTGTTGGATAAGTTTGGTGAAACTAACTCCTCATGGTTTTGTTTGTTGGGCGAGTGAACACCTCGTTAGAATGACTTCTGAAAATTTCTATGAACTAGATGACTTGGTTACTAGGTGAGCCTGGTTCTCACTAGGGGAATTTAAGGAGATTTACCTCTAGTGCTTTATTCATTGGGAACTTTGTTTTTCGCTGGATGAGAATTTTAAAATTAAAAAATGTAGAATAAGTTAATATCTCAATGAATGAGCATACCTTTAGGGGGTCTCGCTTAGGGAGTAAAAAATTTGCTAAGTGAGTTTGAGTTTGAGTAAGTGACAAACTTAGAATCACTAGGAGAATCCTTGGTTGAGTGAGAAAAAAGAGCTAAGAATATAAGATATGATTTAAGTAGGTTTTTATGTACAAGATAGAGTAATGATCTTTTTATGCTACAAATCTATTGAGTTATAGTTGTTTTATCTTATGTGCGAATATAATGTATGAAAATGGTAATTTCTAAAAGAATTTGTAGTATTGTATAATGTGGATGTATGTATTTGAATATGAATTTCGACAAAAACATCCTAATTCTATAATTTTGTTTCATTAAGATAATAAAATAAAATTTTTATAAATAAAAAAGTTATAAAAGAGAAATGTTTAATAAAGATAAGAAAATGGTGAAATATATTGTTTAGTAATTTTCTAGTGTTATTTTCTCATTTTTTTTCTTTTCTACAAACTCTCCACTGTTAGCTTTTTAGTTGTATAGATTTATTGAAAATAAAAAAATAACTATAGAAGTAATTATAAAAATAGAATGTTTTCCTCTATTACTGAAGAATTAAAGTATTAAAAAATGGAAAGTGATTTTGAAAAAGTTGTGCTTTTTATAATAAAATTAAATATCAATATATATATATATATATATATATATATATATATATTAATTACGAATTAATAGATTAGTGGTTAAAGAAAATAATGCAACTTTTATATATTTTTAATTAATTTTATAATAAAGTAAAAAAGTAACATTTTTCTCTATTATCAAATTTGTTTAAAGTTTTCATTTTAATTGAAGAAAATATTTATCTTTTTTTAATATGATTTTAAATAATTGTTATATTTCTTTCAATTTTTCCATTTCAAATAATTTTAATAAGTTATTTATTATATTTATCTGTTTAAATAATTTTTAGAATATGATAAAAAATAAAAGTAAGAATATAATTAAAAAAACATTTCATCTTATTAGAATTCACAAAAAAAATATAATTAAGAAAAACAAAAACTAGCAAAGAGAATATTTTAAAGTCTATACCGCTTCGTTTCGTCAATAGTTTAGTTTGTCAATCGACAGTCCGACAGTCGACACAGAATCCACTACCAATTAAATTACATAAATATCTTTTTCTTTTTTCTCGAAGATGATTACTACCGACAAAAGCGGGATTGGAGCGCTCAAACTGATTGGTTGACGTTAACTTCTTGTTAGGGCCGATGATGTTGGAACTCTGAGTTGCTAAAAGAATGGAGATTCCTGTTTTAGAATGTTTGTAATAATTTTACTGAGATTGATCGCATTGTGGAGTTTTTCTAAAAAGCTTGTTTTTTTTTCTATTTTATTGTTTTTTTTCTTACTTCTCTTCTTTTACTATTCAACTTTATCCAATATTTTATTGATTAATATTTTTTTATTTTATTTTTAATATTGTTGTGATTATTATATATGGTATCGCATTTATTATCAAATGCTTTTAATATTTTAGACTCGCACTATTTTATTAACTTGATACACCTAGTTGTTTACTTCTTTCTATTTAATTAACTATGTCAAATTTTAAACATTTAGTTATATAAAATATATTTAATTAAAAAAAAGTTCAAACAAATTATAATATCATTTACAATAAATCCTGTGAGAATATATTTGAGACTTGCCATTTTATAAAGAAATATAAATAAATATCATATACAACTAAATGTTAGGATACACTTTATTAAGTACACTCATGCACAAATTTTAAGTCAATTATATTTGTTTTTTCAATATTGTTATGTTTGGACAGGTATTTTGTCTTTTCAAAAGCAGACAAATTGTTCTAACGATTTTAATAACAAATAATCTATTTTAGTAATATAAAACTATTCAAGTTATATATATATATATATATATAATACAAAATAAGATAGCATAAACATATGTCCATAGAGTCTCTGGTACAAATTGTGTTCTTGGAAGAAATGAAAAAGAAAAAAAAAGAAGAAGAAAGTTTGAAGAGGAAAAAAAAGTTATAGATATTGGAAAGGAAAAGCAAGGAGAATTAGAATAAGAAAAAAAAAACTGAACCTACAGATCTTACACATAAATAATTCAATTATTTTTAACATTACAGTGAGCATAACTAAGTTGAGTTCTATTAGATAAGATTGGAAAAGAGAGCCTATATTCAATGTTAAGACATTAATAAATAACTGCTATATAGGAAAAAATAATTCATGTTGGTTGAAAACTTATTTATTATTGTTATACTGTTTTCTCCAGAAGTATCATATCTTTTATTGAACTTAATTTATGATTATGCAATGAAATAAATTCAAGTTTCATATTATCATAAAATATATATTTCATATGAGATGTTTTAATATTTATATTAAATGCTACCTACTATAAAAAATATCATTTAGTTTAAACAATTAATACACCATATAAACATTTAATATACTTCCATGTAACCATAACATATTATTTATGTTAAAGATGGTGGACTTTTAAAACAATTGTTTTAAAAGTCATGTCCATTATGATTTATTAATAATGTAAATTTATTCACATTAAAAAATTGAATTTATATATATCTACTTTTTAAATATATATAAAAAATATAAAAATTAGTATTCTCAACTTCTTTCAGTCCTTTTAAAAGAAAAAAATTTGTCTCCAAAAGAAATTGGATGGTTCACTCTTAAAAACCAAATTGGTAGAATAGAATGTAATCAACTTTGAGAAAAGTTCTAAATACCTTATTTTCAATTGAATTTCTTATAAATTTATTTGTGAGTAAAACTATATGCGATCTGATTAATATAATGCAAAGTAGAGATTTAATGGAATGATCTATATGTAGGGAATAAAATATGTAAATTTCTCTTCATATTAATTTGGACTGATATTTTTTACATAAAGAACACATGACATTAACATTGTATAACTATGTTTTAGTATCATAATAAATAATATTAAAGTAATACATAATTAATTCAAATACTTTCACTCAAAATAATGGAAATAAAAACCTACAAATTGTTTATTCATTCAGTTAAATATTAATTTGAATTTTTCTAGATTTTGATGTAACATGTAAATTTGTTTATAAACTATAGTTTGGATTTATAGTTAATTTATATTAAAGAGGTGAGGAGTGAAGTATTTAATTTATATTTATAGAAAGAAATGTATATTTAAGATAAGTTTTGTAAGAGTTATAGTTAATATATATCTTTTACTTTTTCTTCATCATTTTACATTTAGTAACAGAAATTCATTCTTAAGTATATTTGTTTTTTTTATTAAAATACAAATTTGTTTCATAGAAGATAGTTTGAATACAATACATAAAAATTCCATAAATGAGAAGTCAAGGCATGGACAAAGAATGATAAATGTTTAATAAAGAAAACCAAAACACCTAGGGATATTTTGTAGTAACCTCTTGTATCAATTTCTCATTTTTCCTTCTCCTACGAATCCTCCACACCGTTAGCTCATCAGCTGTCTAAATCTGACCCGTTCATTTCTCAACTCTTTATTCAACCTTCTGCTTCACCCAAAAGGTCACCGTGGAAGCTTCATTTAGGATAATCACATTTCAAAATTCACTTTCCTCAAATGTCCAACCACATGTCACCACGTCAGCATAGTGATCTACAAAAAGCACCTCATCCTGTTCTCACCAGCACCTGATCATTTCTGGACCAAATAAAGACAGAAGACAGAAAATTCGCCTTCTCTTTCTCTCTCTAAAACAAAAACTATACCAAAGGAGCTTTGGCTGGGGAACTTTCATGGACTGACTAGAGCTCAGTTTAATCTGCAAATCCCATTTCAGGTTTGCCTCAGTTTCACTTTTGTAGCTGAAAGATTCAATTTTGTTATCCAGTGTAGGAGTCCTCACCCTGGATTTGATTTTTCTACCATTTTTGAAACCCTAGGATCTGATCTGAATTAGGATATAAAGCTTGTATTTTTGTTTCTCTGTTGCCCTTTTCATGTTCTTTTCGTCCGTTCAAGGTGGTGGTTTTGCATGTCTTTTTTGTCGTTAGTTTTGTGCTAGGTTTTTGTTTTTTTTTTACAAATCTGAATGATAACAGGTAGAAAGTTTTATGGTTCTATTTTTTTTCCCGGCTAGTGACTCCGAATTTTATTGCATTTTGTTACAGGAACTGTGTTGTTTATCCCTGTGTAATCTCCAAGGGTTGCATGTTTGATCCCTTGTAGTGTGATCTTTTGTACTTATTTTTGTTATTCTAGCATTTCATTGTTTTTTCTGTGCACTGAGATTGTTGGGTGCTAAGCATTTGGCAAGGTTGCTTTGTAGACGATAGATTGTTTGTACTGCTTCAAATTTGTGCCAATGGAACACCATTTTGGTCAAGACGCTGCTCCTGCATCTGGGTCCTTTGATAAGACTAGGGTTTTGAACGTGAAGCCATTAAGAACGCTTGTTCCTGTGTTCCCTTCACCATCTAATCCTGCTTCATCTTCAGCTCCCCAAGGGGGTGCTCCATTTGTCTGTGTTTCACCTTCTGGTCCTTTCCCTTCTGGGGTTGCACCCTTCTATCCATTCTTCATCTCCCCGGAGTCCCAGAGGCTCTCAGAGCAGAATGCACAAACCCCCACTGGTCAACGTATGCCTGCTACTCCTGCTGCTCCTATATCGACTGCAATTCCAATTAATTCATTCAGGACGCCAACTGGAGCTACTAATGGTGATTTGGGCACATCGAGGAGGAGTACCCGAAGTCGGGGACAGGTCGCACAGGAAGATGGCTACAGTAATGCTGTGATAGAGGAAGTTGAGGCAGATGCAACAACTGCGGCTAAAAGATCAAAGCGCAAGTTGCAGAACAAGATAAAGGGACCGCCGAGTGTTGGTTCTGGGGATGTTGATCCAGATGCAGTGGCTGCTGATATTCTCAAGTCACTTAACCCATTGGTTTTTAATGTACTAAATCAACCCGAAGGTAGCAGGGACTCAGTTGCATATACACTCATGATATATGAAGTAATGCGAAGGAAGCTTGGACAAATTGAGGATTCAAATAGGGCTGCTAACGCTGTAGCAAAACGACCAGACTTGAGGGCAGGTGCAATTATGATGAATAAAGGTATTCGGACCAACAGCAAGAAACATATTGGACTTGTGTCTGGTGTTGAGATTGGGGATATTTTCTTTTTCAGATTTGAATTATGCTTAGTGGGTTTACATTCACCTTCTATGGCTGGAATTGATTACATCGGTACCAAAACCAGTCAAGAGGAAGAGCCCTTAGCTGTAAGTATTGTCTCATCTGGAGGGTATGAAGATGATGTGGAGGATGGGGATGTGCTGATTTACAGTGGCCAAGGTGGGGTTAACCGTGACAAGGGAGCAAGTGATCAAAAGCTTGAAAGGGGTAATCTTGCTTTGGATAACAGTGCTCATAGAGGTAACGAAGTGAGGGTAATTAGGGGTTTGAAGGATTTGTATCATCCAACGGGGAAGGTATATGTCTATGATGGTCTTTACAAGATTCAAGATTCCTGGGTGGACAAATCAAAATCTGGTTTCAATGTGTTCAAGTATAAATTAGGCAGGTTGCCTGGACAGCCTCCAGCATATATGATTTGGAAATCCATTCAACAATGGACTGAGAAATCTGCTCCAAGAGCTGGGGTTATATTGCCTGATCTTACTTCTGGGGCCGAAAAAGTACCTGTTTGTCTTGTGAATGATGTTGATGCCGAGAAGGGCCCTGCATATTTCACTTACCACCCAAATCTTAAGAATTTGAGGCCAACTGCTCCGCTGGAATCCTCTATTGGATGTTCTTGTATTGGTGGATGCCAACCTAACAATTCTAACTGTCCTTGTGTTCAAAAGAATGGTGGCTATCTACCATATTCTTCAGCTTCATTAATTGCAGACCTAAAATCTGTTATATATGAGTGTGGTCCTTCTTGTCAATGTCCTCCTAATTGCCGAAAAAGGATTTCTCAAAGTGGCTTGAAGTTTCGTTTGGAGGTTTATAAAACCAAGAATAAAGGATGGGCTCTTAGATCATGGGATGCTATTCGAGCAGGATCTTTCATATGTGAGTATGCTGGGGAAGTCATAGACAGTGCCAGAGTGGAGGAGGAGCTTGGTGGTGACAATCTTGATGATTACATTTTTGATTCTACTCGCATTTATCAACAACTGGAAGTTTTTCCAGGTGACACTGAAGCTCCAAAAATCCCATCCCCCCTATATATATCCGCAATTAATGAAGGGAATGTTGCTCGGTTTATGAATCACAGCTGCTCTCCAAATGTATTATGGCGTCCAGTCATACATGAAAATAAGAATTTTTCAGATCTCCACATTGCTTTCTATGCAATTAGACATATCCCTCCTATGATGGAGTTAACTTTTGATTATGGGACGGTTCTTCCTCTCAAGGCAGGTCATAGTAAAAAGAAATGCTTATGTGAATCTGTGAAATGCAGGGGTTACTTTTGTTAATTATTTGTCCTATGAGTTTTGGATGAAGAGGCCTCTGAATGAATGTACTGAAGGATAAGGTTAGTCTACAACTATTCAAAACACTTTGTTATAAACTAAATAATTTTTCTTCTTATCTCGCACTTTTGGGCATAAGTGATTAAGCTTTTGTATTGGTGATTTATTAAATTATGGCATCAGGAAGTTTGTGACCTCTAGTTTTCTATTTTCTTGCCCCTCTGCATTTCTAATTGTAATATTGAAACGAAAGATTAGGTGTTTTGAAATTTTGAAATTTTGAGATAAATTCACGGTTAATTTTGAAAGGGTTAAAATAAGTTTTTTGGTACTTACAAAAATTGTCTATATTGAAATTGACACCTCTAATTTTTTGTTAGTGTTTTTGATGTCCGACATTTCATAAATATGCAAAGTTTCCAACAGGAACTTTATTACTCTTGAATTAACTGTGTTGACATAATCTTGTAAGATATTTGAAGGAATGTTGGCCAGTGACGTTAATTTAAAAGTAACAGAATACATATATCAGGATCAAATTCACATATTTATTGAAGAGTATCAAAATCAGAGTTTTTTGGAGGTACCAATTTTAATATGGACCAATTTTGGAGGTACAAAAGCTTAGTTTACCCATATTTAAAATATTTTTGCTGTTGCATGCAAGACTATGCTTGTGCAGTTTTGTTTTTAAACTAATTATATTGTTATTTCTGTTTTTTACTATAATTGAAATATATTTTCCTCCCTTTTGTTCATCCCTGAATCCTGATGCCACTTGATTATTTTCAATAAAAGAAAAGGTTTAAATCTTTTCCCTACCAAAACATACAGAGAAAAATAGTAAAGGGTCTTGTAAAATGGTTATAATATATTTTCAAACGATGATTTTCCTGAAAGTTTACTTTGACTTAAATTTGCTAGCAATAGAAATCCTTTTTCAAATCCAGATTGCTGAATCCAGGTGTAGAAGCTGTGCTACCATGTTCATGAATTCATTTTTCCTTAAGCAAAAGTTGTTGAAAGATGCATGAATGTTTTTTATAACTAGCATGTATACTTGAAATCCGATATTTGACCATCCCTTGGCAATGATGAATCAATTATTACTTACTGATTTATATTGATTGAGTAAAGGACTAACTGACAATGTATTTGTTCTCTAAGCTAAAAAGTGTTTCTTACATTCTTAACTAATATTTAACTTGTCCTTTCAGGTGTATAATTTCTGTCTTTGTGGCGTAGAAATAGCATAAATGTAGAACGTGATTTATGATATTGCATCATGTTTCTCAGCTGTAGCTGTAAGACCAGACAGCAGGATGGAACTATTTAGAAAGATGTTAGCAGACAAACTTTTCTTTTTGGCAAACCTAGTAAATTATCACTTGAAAGATCAAGTTGCCTATTTACTGATGTGGGTAAGTTAAGTTGTAAAAGTTAACTGTAGACACATTTTATGTAGACTGTTTCTTTTTTCTGCTGTTAGATACATTTTTTTTTCCTCATGGATGGATTTTGACTAGGGCTGTTAGTAGTCCACATTTTGAACTAGATCCGTAGAATTGGATATTTAAGTTTATTACCATCATTTCCAAAAATCATCCTAATTTTCTATTATTTTGCATTTTTTTGCTTGTTGATGATCCAATCCTACAAATATTCGTTAGGTTAAACTTGCTAGTATAGCCCTTGTTTGATGGTTCTGAAAATTTGCTCTTTTTGATGTTGGAAATGAAACTACAGAAAAAGGAGATTTGAATGCTTAGTAGAAATCTAAATTTAAAAAGAATTTTGAAGGGCATTGCATCTCTATAATAAAAGGTCTTATTTTGAGATGTTATATTACTTTTTGCTGAGTCTTAGTCACATATGATAGAGAATCTCATTAAAGTGAATATTTGTTGTCAATTTGATTTTTATTTGGTTTTTGAAGTAAGATCTTGTGAAAAGATCCTATAAATCAAGTAATATTATTTTTGTTAAGTGGGAATATGAAGTTTTGAAAAAAAAAATGTTTTCTCATTTGATTTAATTTTAGAAAATATTTTCAAGAAATAATGTTTCTGGGAATGATATTTGGTCAAGTCCATATAATCATTTATGCATGTAGAGTGGAACTATAGTAATTTTTTTCCGGTTAAAATGAAAATTTTACTGCATAAAACGTATGGTTATTTTTAATAAATTATTTATTATGATTAAGAATGAACGATTTCAGAAAAGTAAGACATTGCTTTTTAATTTTTAGGAAACAGTATACGTAGTTTTAGGAATATTTCGTACAACTTAAATAAATTTTATTGTTTTTTAAAATCGTAATTTTCAGGAACTGTGGCCGGATCACTGTTTTCTTGCATGACTTAATTTTTCTTGCAATAAGGAGAATGTTCTTGAGTACTATCCTTTCTTTTTATCGAGTTGTACCTATGTCTTTTAGAAAAAAAA